TTGTGGTTGGCTTGTGTTGGCCTCGGATTCGTGTTCTCCGTTGTGGGCCGGCGTTTCGTATTCGTTGCGATTGGTTTGGGTGTCAAGTGCTGCGTTGCATTATTGGGTGCCGTGTGCGTTGTGGTAGGTCGTGGACGTAGGTTCGTTGCGATTTGTTGGGATTTCTGGTATCGGGGTTCGGCGTCTTGTACTTGGATAGTAGTAAGCACGGGTTCAGTGGGCATGGGGTGACGGTCTCGTAGCTGTAGCAGCGTGGATCCGCATTGGATCGTCGTTTCGGTGGCACCTAGGAAGTCCATGCCGACAATGACTTGTCCCAACATGTTTGGCAGGACCAGGAGCGGGATTTGAACCTCTCGTTGATCCAGCTTGATGTGCGCCAGTAGAACTTGTGAGATCTCTCTGACCGAGCCATCGGCCAGGCGTATGCGGACGCATGCATCTTGCAGGTTGGTGTTGTTGTCTAGTTGTCGGGCGAGGTTTGCGCTGATGAAGCTTCTGGATGCCCCGGTGTCGATTGTGGCTTCCGTTGCGTGTCCTCCGATGGTCACCATCGCCACTATCCGGCCGTTGCTTACGTGTAGAGAGTTATTTAGTCGCGGGTTGGAGGAGGCGTCGTTCCCGGCTGATCCCGTGTCAGTTGGGGACGCATGTCGTTTCCCCGACGTGTTTTGGCGGCAGCAATTTACGGTCCGTGTGCCGCGTTTGCCACATTCCCAGCAGAATAGGATGGAGGGATTATGGCAGTCGTATGCCGCATGCCCCGCTTCACCACACCGGCTACAGGCTGCGCGTGGGTTGATGATGGGGGTCGTGATCATGTGATGGGCTGCTTCGGGATTCGCCGTACTGTTTGGATGAGCTGGTGGTCTCCCTGGTGTGTCTGTCGATTCCCAATGGGGACTCAGAAATGGCGTCTGGTGCGAGTCGCATTTCCTCGGCTCTGAAGCCGGCCTTGCGTATCTTGGAGTGTTACGCGGGGGTGCGAAAGTGGTCGGGATGGTCCGCTCTTGGATGCTCTCGAACTCGGTGGCCAACATTGTGAGCTGTGCTAAGCTTTGTAGTTCGTGTCGCCGCACGTACATCTGGTATGCTGGCAGGGCGTTATCGTAGATCCTGTTCAGTCCCTTGGCTGCGTCGTACCTGGCGTGGTGCATGAGTAGACGTATCTCGATGAGGTAATCCTTGAACAATTCTCCTACCGCTTGCTTGCGGGCTCGGATCTGGTCTTCCAATTGTTCAAAATACCGTGGCGGCAAGAAGAAAGTCAAGAATTCTTGGCGGAAATATGCCCATGAGCTGCCTTGTAGTTGGCTAGTGCGGTACCAGCGACTGGCCCGATCGGTGAGAAGCTCTGTCATGGCCCGAGGTAGCTGATTTGTGTCCACCCCATATGAGAGAGCACGTTCTTCGAGTAGTTCCAGAAATGTAAGTGGGTCGTCCTGTCCGTCGAAACTGATTCCCCATTTCCGAATCTGTTCCGCGATGTGGGCGGTGTGGCTGTGGTGGCGTCCATCTATGGAAGAGTCCATGGCTGGCACGATCCTCTGTGTGGGCGAGCGGCTGGTCTCCGTAACTGGAGGTCTGGGCAAATCGGCTGGCGTTACGATGCGTGGTGGGCCAGGTGTGCTGTATTCGGCCGCTGTGGGGACTTGTAACCCGGCTTTTGGGTCGGTTTTCCGCTGGTCAGACGGCCCAGGAGTGGTGGGCATGGGCGACCTGGAGCGTCCTGCTGGTTTGGCGCATTGCCGTTCAAGGTCTCCTAGTCGAACCCAGGCGTCCTTCGAGAGTGTTCCGGCGACTAATGCGGCGAATCTCTTTCGTCGTTCCTCGACTGTTCCTTCGTTGCCAAATCCGAATTCCTCGGCCAGGGTTTCCAGCTCGTCCCGCCGGAGTTTGTAGATCCAGCCGGTGGTGACTCCTGGATTGGTATGGTGTCCCTCCGGATAAAATTCGTCGGGTTGACCGGCTCCGTGGGCTTCCATGGTGTATTTCTGCGGTTAGTAGCACTGACTTACGTTTTGTTTGTGGTACTTCTGTACTGTAGCACTTTTGCTTGCGACCGGATTTTGCGAGGGTGCCGGTTTTGTGCTGGACGGGTATTGATCCTTGCTAGCCTAGTCTCTTTCAGTGGCCGTGGGTCTTTACTCCACAAAGCTCCGTATTAAGGTGTTAGTCTCCTTAAAGTCACCAAAAAGTCCCTGCTCGGGCGCCACTTGTGAGGGTCCTATTTCAGGCTGAGGTAAGCATCAGTCTGTCCAGGGTCCACTACAAGACAATTTGTAGATCGCAGGTGACTTTTAGGTTCGGAACGGCCGCAAGAGAGGTAGGGCGCAGGGGGAGCGTTTTGTTGCTGACGAAGAAGAATTCAAGAAAATCGTGGTTGTCGGTTTTGCTGGTGTTTATTATTTTTATTACTTAATTCTTTGTGGGTTTGTGTACGATGGATTACTTGCGGATCTTGTTACTTGGCCTTGGAGCCGTTGGACTGGGGTGGTGCAGTGTCTTGTGTTTGGGCTGAGGGACTGCGTAGTACAGTGTCTTGGGTGTGTGACTGAGGGACTGCGTAGTACAGTGTCTTGGGTGTGTGACTGAGGGACTGCCTTGTGCAGTGTCTTGTGTTTGGGCTGATGGACTGCCTATAACTTGTATTCGGGCTGATGGACTGCCTACTCTTTCGGCCGATCTTGGCCCTTTTATGCAGCTGGCGATCGCACCTGAGACCCGGAAATAATTAATTCTTGCTGACTTAAGGTTATTGGGTAATAATAATTGTAGGGTGTGGTAACTAGGCCGAAGCTTGGTGCTTCGTTGACAATTTTTAGTGAGTCAGGGTGGTTTTGCTGATGCTGCATCCCGGAAGGTGCAGTTGGGAATTGGGTATTTGGTTTCAAAAGAAATGAGTTTTTGCTAACTCTGCATCGCGGAGGTGATATCTGAATTTGGGTCGATGTTTCGATACTTTTATACTAGCTTGACTTATTGTGAAATAACGCCAATGATATCTCTTATTGCGAAATTGTGTCGGCTTGGCTTATTGCGACATTGTAGGCTGCTGATTTCACAATTGTCTCAAGAGGTGGGGTGTTGTTGATCGAGAGTTCTTAATTAATTGTGTGCTTAAGACTATTTTATTTCCGGGGTGCTGACACACCGCTATTTGTGGAGAACCGTGGCTAGAGCCATGGTTCGTTAGCTCGGTGTATATCATTTTGGTTATTGTCTCCCGCCAGCGTGGATGCGCTGGCCCTTCGCCGTTTGTGACGAGCCATGGCTAGAACCATGGTTCGTTACAACCCAAACGACTTAACACTGAGGCCATGGGTATCCCTCTCAAAAGCCCCTTAGCTCTCCGTTATACATAAGAACGATTGTAACCTAGGATAAGAACCAAATTATATTCAATTAACATTCTCAATCAATCAACCAAATGAAGCAGTCGTGCTTGCTCTGTATACTTCTTATATAACAATGGAAAACTAACATAACATGGCGACCGTGACAAATTCGACACTGCTCGATTAAAACAACTTAATAATTTTAACATCTTAACCAAATCATATTAAAGGCTGTGGTGTGACTGCTGCATAAATACAATGATGAATAACTGGCCCCAAAATATTGTGTTGACCTCGTCATTTGAGAGCTTTGGTTACTTGGTTTTGCTGTGGTGGGGGCCGGTTATATAATTTTGGCCCGCGCTTTTCCGTCGATTGGCCGCGCGTGGGCTGAGTTCTCGGTTTTCTTTCTTTCTTCGGTCGATGTCTTTCGATCCGTGCTGCGTCTTCGGATTTGTTGGTGTTGATATATTCTCCTTGGTGTATCGTTGGTGGCTCCGACTGCTTGTGACGAACCATGGGATCCAACGTTCGTTACAACATGCATATGTGAAGAGGGTCTAATGTGTGTGTTAAACTTTGTTATGCCTTTCAGGCCTTGTTTAATAATTAAACAATAAAGACACACACACACTTATATACATACATATGTACATGCATAAATTGTTAATTCTGTGCACAAGTTTAATGAGTCGTTGGCATGAAAATTTCAAATTTATTGCAGGCCCAGCACCCAGTCTCAGCGCCAGTCCCAGTCTGCGTCCCCAGCTCAATAAATTTTGGGGGCTTGCGTGCCCGAACTTGAGAGCCTCAGGAAGTTTTTGCCTCTTTGGCCAACCCACACTAAACCCAACCCATCCCACCCCTGGATGAGAAATTGATTCATGAAATTGATTCATGTTAATTAAATGTGACAAAAGTTGAGAAACTTTTACTGGCTTTTTGCCTCTGGCTCTGGCTGTGGCGGTGGCTGAGTGGCTCTCCTTTGTGTCCTCCGCTGCACACAATTTTCATTTGGCCATGTTGGGGTTAATTTATTGCCACTTTCCCTTCCACCTCCTCCACCACTATAATGTGCGATATTTTCGATTGCGATCATCAGGCCAAAATGTTGCATAGCAAAACTTTGTTCACTTTTAATTAGAAATAGAATCGAATCCGCAATGTGTCGAAATTTTATCTATGCCCTGATATCCCTGTCTACAGCGGGCATGGGGGCCCCCATATGGGGGGCTACAGATGGGGGCTCCAGTGGGTGGCTCCAGTGGGTGGATCCAGTGGGTGGCTCCAGTGGGTGGTTCCAGTGGATGGCCTGCTGCACTGTAAGCACAGAGCCCAGAGCCCATCCCTAGCATGTCGACTTGGATATGGACTTCCTGCTCCTGCTGCTGCTCCCCACCAGGGAAAAGTTTATGCAACGTTTGGCCGTCGGCAAGTGGATGAGGGTGGTGGGAAGTGAGTGAGAGTCGGAAGCGGAAAGCTGAGAGTTGCAGCTCGTAATGCTTCCGGTCCGTTGCCTTATATCTTTTGCCATCAAGTTATCATTCTCAAACTTTATCGATAACGATAACGATGCTGCAATGAGCTGTCACCTGCTCCTGCCACCATACCAGACTTCAAGTCCACTCTACACTGCAAGATCTGCAAGACTGCAGGATGAGAATGAAGACTGTTGAGGCCGCAGAGGTGTATAGCGGGTGGGCGTGGCATCACTACTGGCGCCCTGCTTCTCCTGCTGCTTGATAAACGCCTTGAATTGCTCGGCATTCCCCTTGAGCCCCGTGAGCAGACTCTGCTGCGTGGTGGAAATGTCCACAGTGAGGCAGAAAATTAATCCGTTGATAGCCGAACGGGATGCGCTGCGGGATCGCCGCCAGAAGGCCGACAGCCAGCTGAAGAGTATTCAACTGGACATGCTGCAATTGAGCGAGGACAAGAATCTCAAACAGGAATGTGATCGGCTGAAGGAGGACAACTGGTGCATGTCCACGAAACGGGAGACAGCGGATGCGATCCGCCTGGAGCTGGATCGGCACCAAGGCCTCTTGGTGGCTGCCCAAACGGAGGTGGATCGACTGACCCAACCGCACGCAGAGACCTCACACGAGAAGGATGTGCTCAGCTACGAACTGCAGCAGCAGCGCGAACAATTCGCCAAGCTCAAGCAAAGTCTACAGAGCGTCCAGTTCAATGCAGAGCAGCAGGCCAAAAGGCTGGCGTCGGAGAAGAACAGTCCTTGTTCACATCCACATAGTGTTCCTTTAGGATTTTCGCCTGCCTCTTATTGATCTTCTGCAGCCTGCTCATTTGAATCTCAGCACTGCGAATTTCAGCCAACTTCTCCGCACAGCTACTGCAGTTCTCTGGCTCACATTTCGCCTGCAACTGCTGCAGCTCGCTCTGCAACTGAGAGGGCCTCTTCTTCTTAGAGCTGAGAGGGTCAACTAGCTAGTAATATTAAACTGAGTATCAAAATCATGGATTACGATTTCAATCAATAAAATAGAACGTAATTTAACATATTTTACGCATTACAGGTGATGGATGTCGGCAGCAATCGAAGGATCTACCGGACACTGCGCGAGGAGAAGAAGTGGGCGGAGCAGTGGAATTCCCATCTGGAGTCTAAGCTGAAGCAGCTGCTCCAGTGCAAGCAGCTCAATGAAAAATGCGCCCATAGCGGCGAGCTGCTGTATAGGAAACAGATCGACTTCGACAAAATCACAAAGCGATACAACGCCCTGGAGTCGGACTTTGAGGTCATGCTGCTGGAGAAGGAGGTCAAGATACATGAGCTGAAGGGCTCGCTCGAACTGGCCCAGAGTCAGTACATCAAGCTGCCGGAGGCCAGGCGGGCGACCTTGGAGCACAGCAATGCCCAGCTGAATAGGCACATGGAGGGGACCCTGGCTGAGCTCAGTTCGCTCGATGATCTTTTGCTCAAGATTAATATGACTCGCGTGGGCCTCAGTCGCGCTGATCGCAATGGCCAACTCAATGAGGAGCTGCCTCGGGCTATGGGCAGTCCCCAAAGCCAGACAGATGATTTTATCAATCTGCAGAAGCAACTGGACGAGCGGAAGAAGGAACTGCTCCTGCTGCGTGAGCAGTAGCAGGAGGCACTACGTACCGTGGCTACATTGAGTGAGGAGAAAACGCGACTGCAGCTGCGCCTTGTGCAAATAGAACAGAAATGGGGCGCAGTGAAACAAAATTTGGCCACAAGCTATTCGCAGCTACAGCTGAAAATTAATCTGTTGATAGCCGAACGGGATGCGCTGCGGGATCGCCGCCAGAAGGCCGACAGCCAGCTGAAGAACTGGACTGAACTGGACATGCTGCAATTGAGCGAGGACAAGAATCTCAAACAGGAATGTGATCGGCTGAAGGAGGACAACTGGCGAATGTCCACGAAGTGGGAGACAGCGGATGCGCTCCGCCTGGAGCTGGATCGGCACCAAGGCCTCTTGGTGGCAGCGCGAACAATTCGCTAAGCTCAAGCAAAGTCTACAGAGCGTCCAGTTCAATGCAGAGCAGCAGGCCAAAAAGCTGGCGTCGGAGAAGAACAGTCTGCAGAGCGAGCTGCAGCAGCTACAGTCTACTTTCATACGAAGTAAACTAAACAACTTGAAAAACTCGAAAAAGCGTAAAATATAATCTAAAACCTGCAACAAGATGAAGTTACGCTACAACAAAAACCTGACTGTATCTCCATTCTCGCAATCCTCTGTGTTCACTGTTCAAGTGGTGTCGGATATCAAGCATCCAGCCTCCATCGAAGAAATTTTTTATGTGATTAACTTGAAGTATAAGCACATGACTAACGATTTTCACTTTTCGCGCAGTGTCCGGTAGATCCTTCGATTGCTGCTTCTCCTGACAGGCTCGCTTCAGCTGCTGCTCCATGCTGACGCACGTTTCTGCTCCTCCTCCAGCTTCTTGCGTGTTTCTGCGGCCTGCTGGGCCATGTTGTCCTGCTCGGGCGACTTCGATTTTACCATCTTCTTGAACTTGTGTATCTGTGCCTGCTGCTGGAATCCCTGGAATATCCGACAGCGAATTGCTTATCGAATAGCTGGTGGTCCCCTCTTCTTCATCCTCCAAGTCAAAGAAAACGGCCTTGAACCACTCATCCAGCAACTCGCTGCCTTCTGACTTAGCCTTGGGCGCCGCACTCTTGTCCGGTTGTCCGCTCGTGTCGCTCATTTGCTACTAAAGTGTTAAAATTATTTAGTACGAATTTAATCTTATTTTAAATTTATTTCGTACCGCTTCAATTTTGTAGAGTGTAGTTGACTCTAGGTTGTGGATTCGGTCACGAATCTGACTAACTGAATATTCTCAGTCGAATTTGTTGCTCAAGGCTACTGGCCAGCCTGCTGGGTTTCCTCTGCTAAACGTATAAAAAGTGTAGCCAAGTAAGTCGTTGATGTGGATATTTTTTTTTTTTTAGGTTCCTTATGTAGGTTTATTGTAAAAAATTATCACAGACAATAAAGTACAATTACTTAACGTACTGTTACTGTTGATTAGCAACTTTTGGTAAGGGTCAAGGATTTCTTTTACTATTTGAAAAATCCGGAATGGTTTTCCCGGAACGATATTGTGGGAATGACGCCGGTCCAGCAGCTCTAGGTGTGGTGCTTCGAAAACGGTGGTATGCGGTGTCAGCGAAAGAGACGAGAAAAAGACAGCCATTCAATTTAAATCCGTTTAATGCACTGGTCGCAGCCAGCGATGCCTACGTTCGCCCCAGTTCAGAAGGGAGCCGATCGAACGATCGTAACAGCGACTGAGCGTAACATTCCAATAACTCTTATACTATGCTATTCTATGCTATACTATGCTATGCTATGCTATTTTGCTGCTGCTGCTCCAACATTCCGGCCCCGTTGAAGGCCTCCGGCGCTTCAACCATCCATTGGCAATTTTGCCAGTTTTTGTATTGCGCGTTTAATAACGCCTGCGGAAGTCCGCACCTCTGCCACGTGCACTCTCCTACCACCGCCGTCGTTGCCACCACTCCCCATGTGGTCCACTTCTGAGGCGGTGTGTTGTCCTCGTGGACGAGCACTAGGCATCCTGCCTCGAGGTTCGGTCCTTCGGTAGACCTCTGCTGCCGCTGCTGCAGGCTGGCCAGGTAGTCCTTGCACCAGCCCTGCAGTGTCTTCCAAGCGGAAGTCATAGCGACCAGGGAAGCCTTGAGCTGCCTTCAGGAACGTGCCCCTACGGCAACTTATATAAATATCTATAGTGATAGCCAAGCTGCGATCAAATCACTGAATGCGATAACAACAAGCTCGGCTACCGTGGCAAACTGTCGCAAATCTATCCATGAAATGGCTTATCAGTTTGTCATCAGTCTAATATGGGTCCCGGGCCACCAGGACATTGAAGGCAACTGTATAGCAGACGAGCTGGCCAGAGCTGGTACAAAAATCCCACTTCTCCATGATAAGGAGGATAATCGTATGCCAATGGCCACCTGCAAGCTCAAAATAAAATAACATTTTAAGAAACTAATAAATGACAGATGGCAAACAGTGCCACTATGTCGCATAACTCGGCAAATATGGCCTTACATTACTAGGAAGCGCACCGATGAGCTTTGCAAACTCAGTACGAGCAGGTGCAGCTCAGTCATACGCTCCCTTACGGGACATTGGCTAATAGGCACCCATGCTAACAGGTTGGGTGCCCCCTATAACGACTTCTGTCGGAGCTGTGGAGATGAGGACGAGGAGGAGACTGTGGAACACCTGTTCTGCTCCTGTGCGGCTCTCTGTAGAAGGAGACTTCAATACTTGGGTGCACCTTTCCTAATTGACATTTCGGACATGTCTACAATCAGTCCCAGACGGATCGCAGGCTTCATAAGGGCATCCGGATGGGACAACGGATAACATAGTGTCTCACGAGGGAACGATCGATGCGGTATCACAACGGGCCGAAGCCAGCCTAGGTGTGTCGGGTTTCTGACGATCCCGACAGCCGCCTTAACCTAACCTAACCTAAGTGCTGCTTGCTGCTGCTTGATAAACGCCTTGAATTGCTCGGCAATCCCCTTGAGCCCCGTGAGCAGACTCTGCTGCGTGGTGGAAATGTCCACAGTTGGGGTGCGGGCGCAGAGGCTTTGCAGCGTGAGGCAGAAAATTAATCCGTTGATAGCCGAACGGGATGCGCTGCGGGATCGCCGCCAGAAGGCCGACAGACAGCTGAAGAGTATTCAATTGGACATGCTGCAATTGAGCGAGGACAAGAATCTCAAACAGGAATGTGATCGGCTGAAGGAGGACAACTGGTGCATGTCCACGAAACGGGAGACAGCGGATGCGATCCGCCTGGAGCTGGATCGGCACCAAGGCCTCTTGGTGGCTGCCCAAATGGAGGTGGATCGACTGACCCAACCGCACGCAGAGACCTCACACGAGAAGGATGTGCTCAGCTACGAACTGCAGCAGCAGCGCGAACAATTCGCCAAGCTCAAGCAAAGTCTACAGAGCGTCCAGTTCAATACAGAGCAGCAGGCCAAAAGGCTGGCGTCGGAGAAGAATAGTCCTTGTTCACATCCACATAGTGTTCCTTTAGGATTTTCGCCTGCCTCTTATTGATCTTCTGCAGCCTGCTCATTTGAATCTCAGCACTGCGAATTTCAGCCAACTTCTCCGCACAGCTACTGCAGTTCTCTGGCTCACATTTCGCCTGCAACTGCTGCAGCGTGCTCTGCAACTGAGAAGGCCTCTTCTTCTTAGAGCTGAGAGGGTCAACCAGCTAGTAATATTAAACTGAGTATCAAAATCATGGATTACGATTTCAATCAATAAAATAGAACGTAATTTAACATATTTTACGCATTACAGGTGATGGATGTCGGCAGCAATCGAAGGATCTACCGGACACTGCGCGAGGAGAAGAAGTGGGCGGAGCAGTGGAATTCCCAGCTGGAGTCCAAGCTGAAGCAGCTGCTCCAGTGCAAGCAGCTCAATGAAAAATGCGCCCATAGCGGCGAGCTGCTGTATAGGAAACAGATCGACTTCGACAAAATCACAAAGCGATACAACGCCCTGGAGTCGGACTTTGAGGTCATGCTGCTGGAGAAGGAGGTCAAGATACATGAGCTGAAGGGCTCGGTCGAACTGGCCCAGAGTCAGTACATCAAGCTGCCGGAGGCCAGGCGGGCGACTTTGGAGCACAGCAATGCCCAGCTGAATAGCCACATGGAGGGGACCCTGGCTAAGCTCAGTTCGATCGATGATCTTTTGCTCAAGATTAATATGACTCGCGTGGGCCTCAGTCGCGCTGATCGCAATGGCCAACTCAATGAGGAGCTGCCTCGGGCTATGGGCAGTCCCCAAAGCCAGACAGATGATTTTGTCAATCTGCAGAAGCAACTGGACGAGCGGAAGAAGGAACTGCTCCTGCTGCGTGAGCAGGAGCAGGAGGCACTACGTACCGTGGCTACATTGAGTGAGGAGAAAACGCGACTGCAGCTGCGCCTTGTGCAAATAGAACAGAAATGGGGCGCAGTGAAACAAAATTTGGCCACAAGCTATTCGCAGCTACAGCTGAAAATTAATCTGTTGATAGCCGAACGGGATGCGCTGCGGGATCGCCGCCAGAAGGCCGACAGCCAGCTGAAGAGTATTCAACTGGACATGCTGCAATTGAGCGAGGACAAGAATCTCAAACAGGAATGTGATCGGCTGAAGGAGGACAACTGGCGAATGTCCACGAAGTGGGAGACAGCGGATGCGCTCCGCCTGGAGCTGGATCGGCACCAAGGCCTCTTGGTGGCAGCGCGAACAATTCGCTAAGCTCAAGCAAAGTCTACAGAGCGTCCAGTTCAATGCAGAGCAGCAGGCCAAAAGGCTGGCGTCGGAGAAGAACAGTCTGCAGAGCGAGCTGCAGCAGCTACAGTCTACTTTCAAACGAAGTAAACTAAACAGCTTGAAAAACTCGAAAAAGCGTAAAATATAATCTAAAACCTGCAACAAGATGAAGTTACGCTACAACAAAAACCTGACTGTATCTCTATTCTCGCAATCCTCTGTGGTGTCGGATATCAGGCATCCAGCCTCCATCGAAGAAATTTTTGATGTGATTAACTTGAAGTATAAGCACATGACTAACGATTTTCACTTTTCGCGCAGTGTCCGGTAGATCCTTCGATTGCTGCTTCTCCTGACAGGCTCGCTTCAGCTGCTGCTCCATGCTGACGCACGTTTCTGCTCCTCCTCCAGCTTCTTGCGTGTTTCTGCGGCCTGCTGGGCCATGTTGTCCTGCTCGGGCGACTTCGATTTTACCATATTCTTGAGCTTGTGTATCTGTGCCTGCTGCTGGAATCCCTGGAATATCCGACAGCGAATTGCTTATCGAATAGCTGGTGGTCCCCTCTTCTTCATCCTCCAAGTCAAAGAAAACGTTCTTGAACCCCTCATCCAGCAACTCGCTGCCTTCTGACTTAGCCTTGGGCGCCGCACTCTTGTCCGGTTGTCCGCTCGTGTCGCTCATTTGCTACTAAAGTGTTAAAATTATTTAGTACGAATTTAATCTTATTTTAAATTTATTTCGTACCGCTTCAATTTTGTAGAGTGTAGGTGACTCTAGGTTGTGGATTCGGTCACGAATCTGACTAACTGAATATTCTCAGTCGAATTTGTTGCTCAAGGCTACTGGCCAGCCTGCTGGGTTTCGTCTGCTAAACGTATAAAAAGTGTAGCCAAGTAAGTCGTTGATGTGGATATTTTTTTTTTTTTTTTAGGTTCCTTATGTAGGTTTATTGTAAACAATTATCACAGACATTAAAGTACAATTACTTAACGTACTGTTACTGTTGATTAGCAACTTTTGGTAAGGGTCAAGGATTTCTTTTACTATTTGAAAAATCCGGAATGGTTTTCCCGGAACGATATTGTGGGAATGACGCCGGTCCAGCAGTTCTAGGTGTGGTGCTTCGAAAACGGTGGTATGCGGAGTCAACGAAAGAGACGAGAAAAAGACAGCCATTCAATTTAAATCCGTTTAATGCACTGGTCGCAGCCAGCGATGCCTACGTTCGCCCCAGTTCAGAAGGGAGCCGATCGAACGATCGACTGAGCGTAACAATCCAATAACTCTTATACTATGCTATTCTATGCTATACTATGCTATGCTATGCTATTTTGCTGCTGCTGCTCTAACATTCCGGCCCCGTTGAAGGCCTCCGGCGCTTCAACCATCCATTGGCAAATTTGCCAGTTTTTGTATTGCGCGTTTAATAACGCCTGCGGAAGTCCGCACCTCTGCCACGCGCACTCTCCTACCACCGCCGTCGTTGCCACCACTCCCCCTGTGGTCCACTTCTGAGGCGGTGTGTTGTCCTCGTGGACGAGCACTAGGCATCCTGCCTCGAGGTTCGGTCCTTCGGTAGACCTCTGCTGCCGCTGCTGTAGGCTGGCCAGGTAGTCCTTGGACCAGCCCTGCAGTGTCTTCCAAGCGGAAGTCATAGCGATCAGGGAAGCCTTGAGCGGAACGTGCCCCTACGGCAACTTATATAAATATCTATAGTGATAGCCAAGCTGCGATCAAATCACTGAATGCGATAACAACAAGCTCGGCTACCGTGGCAAACTGTCGCAAATCTCTCCATGAGATGGCTTATCAGTTTGTCATCAGCCTAATATGGGTCCCGGGCCACCAGGACATTGAAGGCAACTGTATAGCAGACGAGCTGGCCAGAGCTGGTACAACAATCCCCCTTCTCCATGATAAGGAGGATATTCGTATGCCAATGGCCACCTGCAAGCTCAAAATAAAAGAACATTTTAAGAAACTAATAAATGACAGATGGCAAACAGTGCCACTATGTCGCATAACTCGGCAAATATGGCCTAACATTACTAGGAAGCGCACCGATGAGCTTTGCAAACTCAGTAGGAGCCGGTGCAGCTCAGTCATACGCTCCCTTACGGGACATTGGCTAATAGGCACCCATGCTAATAGGCTGGGTGCCCCTATAACGACTTCTCTCGGAGCTGTAGAGATGAGGACGAGGAGGAGACTGTGGAACACCTGTTCTGCTCCTGTCCGGCTCTCTGTAGAAGGAGACTTCAATACTTGGGTGCACCTTTCCTAATTGACATTTCGGACATGTCTACAATCAGTCCCAGACGGATCGCAGGCTTCATAAGGGCATCCGGATGGGACAACGGATAACATAGTGTCTCACGAGGGAACGATCGATGCGGTATCACAACGGGCCGAAGCCGGCCTAGGTGTGTCGGGTTTCTGACGATCCCGACAGCCGCCTAAACCTAACCTAACCTAACCTAAGTGCTGCTTGCTGCTGCTTGATAAACGCCTTGAATTGCTCGGCATTCCCATTGAGCCCCGTGAGCAGACTCTGCTGCGTGGTGGAAATGTCCACAGTTGGGGTGCGGGCGCAGAGGCTTTGCAGCGTGAGGCAGAAAATTAATCCGTTGATAGCCGAACGGGATGCGCTGCGGGATCGCCGCCAGAAGGCCGACAGACAGCTGAAGAGTATTCAATTGGACATGCTGCAATTGAGCGAGGACAAGAATCTCAAACAGGAATGTGATCGGCTGAAGGAGGACAACTGGTGCATGTCCACGAAACGGGAGACAGCGGATGCGATCCGCCTGGAGCTGGATCGGCACCAAGGCCTCTTGGTGGCTGCCCAAATGGAGGTGGATCGACTGACCCAACCGCACGCAGAGACCTCACACGAGAAGGATGTGCTCAGCTACGAGCTGCAGCAGCAGCGCGAACAATTCGCCAAGCTCAAGCAAAGTCTACAGAGCGTCCAGTTCAATGCAGAGCAGCAGGCCAAAAGGCTGGCGTCGGAGAAGAACAGTCCTTGTTCACATCCACATAGTGTTCCTTTAGGATTTTCGCCTGCCTCTTATTGATCTTCTGCAGCCTGCTCATTTGAATCTCAGCATTGCGAATTTCAGCAAACTTCTCCGCACAGCTACTGCAGTTCTCTGGCTCACATTTCGCCTGCAACTGCTGCAGCTCGCTCTGCAACTGAGAGGGCCTCTTCTTCTTAGAGCTGAGAGGGTCAACTAGCTAGTAATATTAAACTGAGTATCAAAATCATGGATTACGATTTAAATCAATAAAATAGAACGTAATTTAACATATTTTACGCATTACAGGTGATGGATGTCGGCAGCAATCGAAGGATCTACCGGACACTGCGCGAGGAGAAGAAGTGGGCGGAGCAGTGGAATTCCCAGCTGGAGTCCAAGCTGAAGCAGCTGCTCCAGTGCAAGCAGCTCAATGAAAAATGCGCCCATAGCGGCGAGCTGCTGTATAGGAAACAGATCGACTTCGACAAAATCACAAAGCGATACAACGCCCTGGAGTCGGACTTTGAGGTCATGCTGCTGGAGAAGCAGGTCAAGATACATGAGCTGAAGGGCTCGCTCGAACTGGCCCAGAGTCAGTACATCAAGCTGCCGGAGGCCAGGCGGGCGAGCTTGGAGCACAGTAATGCCCAGCTGAATAGCCACATGGAGGGGACCCTGGCTGAGCTCAGTTCGCTCGATGATCTTTTGCTCAAGATTAATATGACTCGCGTGGGCCTCAGTCGCGCTGATCGCAATGGCCAACTCAATGAGGAGCTGCCTCGGGCTTAGGGCAGTCCCCAAAGCCAGACAGATGATTTTATCAATCTGCAGAAGCAACTGGACGAGCGGAAGAAGGAACTGCTCCTGCTGCGTGAGCAGGAGCAGGAGGCACTACGTACCGTGGCTACATTGAGTGAGGAGAAAACGCGACTGCAGCTGCGCCTTGTGCAAATAGAACAGAAATGGGGCGCAGTGAAACAAAATTTGGCCACAAGCTATTCGCAGCTACAGCTGAAAATTAATCTGTTGATAGCCGAACGGGATGCGCTGCGGGATCGCCGCCAGAAGGCCGACAGCCAGCTGAAGAGTATTCAACTGGACATGCTGCAATTGAGCGAGGACAAGAATCTCAAACAGGAATGTGATCGGCTGAAGGAGGACAACTGGCGAATGTCCACGAAGTGGGAGACAGCGGATGCGCTCCGCCTGGAGCTGGATCGGCACCAAGGCCTCTTGGTGGCAGCGCGAACAATTCGCTAAGCTCAAGCAAAGTCTACAGAGCGTCCAGTTCAATGCAGAGCAGCAGGCCAAAAGGCTGGCATCGGAGAAGAACAGTCTGCAGAGCGAGCTGCAGCAGCTACAGTCTACTTTCAAACGAAGTAAACTAAACAACTTGAAAAACTCGAAAAAGCGTAAAATATAATCTAAAACCTGCAACAAGATGAAGTTACGCTAGAACAAAAACCTGACTGTATCTCCATTCTCGCAATCCTCTGTGCCCATTGTTCAAGTGGTGTCGGATATCAAGCATCCAGCCTCCATCGAATAAATTTTTTATGTGATTAACTTGAAGTATAAGCACATGACTAACGATTTTCACTTTTCGCGCAGTGTCCGGTAGATCCTCTGATTGCTGCTTCTCCTGACAGGCTCGCTTCAGCTGCTGCTCCATGCTGACGCACGTTTCTGCTCCTCCTCCAGCTTCTTGCGTGTTTTTGCGGCCTGCTGGGCCATGTTGTCCTGCTCGGGCGACTTCGATTTTACCATCTTCTTGAGCTTGTGTATCTGTGCCTGCTGCTGGAATCCCTGGAATATCCGACAGCGAATTGCTTATCGAATAGCTGGTGGTCCCCTCTTCTTCATCCTCCAAGTCAAAGAAAACGGCCTTGAACCCCTCATCCAGCAACTCGCTGCCTTCTGACTTAGCCTTGAGCGCCGCACTCATGTCCCGTTGTCGTGTAGTTGACTCTAGGTTGTGGATTCGGTCACGAATCTGACTAACTGAATATTCTCAGTCGAATTTGTTGCTCAAGGCTACTGGCCAGCCTGCTGGGTTTCCTCTGCTAAACGTATAAAAAGTGTAGCCAAGTAAGTCGTTGATGTGAATATTTTTTTTATACCCGTACTCAAAAAAGAGTTAAGGGGTATATTAGATTTGTGGTAAAAGTGGATGTGTGTAACGCAGAGAAGGAAACGTTTCCGACCCCACAAAGTATATATATTCTTGATCAGCATCAATAGCCGAGTCGATATAGCTATGTCTGTCTGTCCGTCTGTCTGTCTGTCTGTCTGTCTGTCTGTCTGTCTCGATGGGCGCCTAGATCTCAAAGACTATAAGAGCTAGGGCAACCAAATTTGGTTTCCAGACTCATGTGATATCCCACTGTTACAAGTGTATTTCAAAATTTCGCCCCGCCCCCTTCCGCCCGCACAAAGAACGAAAATCTGTGGCAGGCACATTTTTAAAGATACGATAAAACTAAAAACGCAGTATCGTAGAGAGATGTAAAATATACATTGTAGATGTAGATGTAGATAACAGATGTAGCTAAAAATGTAATATGTAAAATTTTTTTTTTTAATTCTAAAATTCTAATAAAAAATCATATGCTCAAAAATGTAAATACTGACTGAGTACGGGTATAAGTAGAGTCGCGTCTTTGGAAGCGACTCACACGTTCCTTCTCGTTTTTTTTTAGGTTCCTTATGTAGGTTTATTGTAAACAATTATCACAGACAATAAAGTACAATTACTTAACGTACTGTTACTGTTGATTAGCAACTTTTGGTAAGGGTCAAGGATTTCTTTTACTATTTGAAAAATACGGAATGGTTTTCCCGGAACGATATTGTGGGAATGACGCCGGTCCAGCAGTTCTAGGTGTGGTGCTTCGAAAACGGTGGTATGCGGTGTCAGCGAAAGAGACGAGAAAAAGACAGCCATTCAATTTAAATCCGTTTAATGCACTGGTCGCAGCCAGCGATGCCTACGTTCGCCCCAGTTCAGAAGGGAGCCGATCGAACGATCGTAACAGCGACTGAGCGTAACAATCCAATAACTCTTATACTATGCTATTCTATGCTATACTATTGCTTGCTGCTGCTGCTCTAACATTCCGGCCCCGTTGAAGGCCTCCGGCGCTTCATCCATCCATTGGCAATTTTGCCAGTTTTTGTATTGCGCGTTTAATAACGCCTGCGGAAGTCCGCACCTCTGCCACGCGCACTCTCCTACCACCGCCGTCGTTGCCACCACTCCCCCTGTGGTCCACTTCTGAGGCGGTGTGTTGTCCTCGTGGACGAGCACTAGGCATCCTGCCTCGAGGTTCGGTCCTTCGGTAGACCTCTGCTGCCGCTGCTGCAGGCTGGCCAGGTAGTCCTTGGACCAGCCCTGCAGTGTCTTCCAAGCGGAAGTCATAGCGATCAGGGAAGCCTTGAGCTGCCTTCAGGAACGTGCCCCTACGGCAACTTATATAAATATCTATAGTGATAGCCAAGCTGCGATCAAATCACTGAATGCGATAACAACAAGCTCGGCTACCGTGGCAAACTGTCGCAAATCTCTCCATGAGATGGCTTATCAGTTTGTCATCAGCCTAATATGGGTCCCGGGCCACCAGGACATTGAAGGCAACAGTATAGCAGACGAGCTGGTGTAGCGCTTGGATCAGGTGGATCATTTTTGTTTGTGGCGCCCTCTATGGGGCATTATGGTAGAGCTCCGGCAGATGAACACGCCATCTGGGCCTCAGGTTTGGGGGCCAAAGAAAAGGGCATAGAAAGGAAGGATAGGTTAACAGATGGAAACGTCAAGGCGAATTTCACCTTTTTAGAAGGCTTGAGGGTTCCCGCGGATTTCGCAGCGTGGCTTCGGTCATCCCGTTTTCATCGTTCGACCTGGATAGGTGATTGCCGCAGTTCACATTTTTTTGCAAGTGCTTTGTCAGTGAAAAAAATCAAGAGTGCTAAAAGTGAGCAAACCGGAGAAACCACTAGCAGCGAGAGGAAAGAAAAATTGGAAGTGTAAAGTGACAATTCCCAGTAGATGTAAGCTCGGGGAGACAAGATTGTGATGCAGCCCGTTAAATGCCACTTTTCGTCCCGCAGAGGGTGCGGCTTTGGAGCAGCTCGAGCTGCGGAAGGAGGAGCTGAAAAAAAAAAACGGAGATCGGCCATCCGAGTGCATTCAAAGCCCGGCTGGGGGCAACGAGGCCCAAAAGGAGTATCTGGAGGGAAAACAGCCTCAACGTAGAGACCCAAAAAGGGGTCAGGGAAGATTGGGAAAAAATAACAGCAAAAATATAGAATTATTGGATTGATGCCTTAGCGAAGAAAAAACAGGCGAAGAGTGCGACGATCGCAGCGTCATTTTGGTGCTTTCCTACGTTTTCGTTTTATGTCTGGACGTTGATATGCAATGACTGCACCATCAAGTGGCCCATGCGACACCAAGCCGAAGCCTGTTACGCGCGGAACCCAGGCAGAAACGCAGCCCTCCTCCCGCCCAACCGACCGAGAGGCGCTGCCGCATGACGCGCGACGCGTGTTACCGAACCGATCGCGAGCATGCAGGAAAGATAGGTGTTAGACTAAAATTCGAGGAAAATTAGAGCTAAACACAACTCTAAGCGCTAAACATGCAAAGATAGCTAAAAAATATAACTAATTACGGGAAAGGTATGTTAGTATTAGTGATTTAAGAAGAGGAAGGGAATTAGTAGTTGATATTATGTGGTAGAGGGAATTGGAATCCGAGCAAAGTACCCTAAATGGTTCGTGCAAGGAATAATTCGATCTACAAAGCGGAAGGAAAAGAGGAATGAAGTTTCTAGTAGATCTAATAGGAATCGTAAAGTTTATGCGGCTCAACAAGTCAGGGCTATCTACATTACCCTTGATCAGGTTGTGCATAAAAATCACACCAAGCATTTTTCTACGACTAACTAAGGTTGGAAGGTTTATTAAAAGCAATCTACGAGGATAAGATGGCAGTCTCACACCTGCATCCCAGTTAAGGCCACGCAGAGCAAAAAGTAAAAAGTTTTTCTGCACTGATTCTATACGGTCCTGGTGTACTTTGTACTGGGGGCACCATACACAAGAGCCGTTTCTAAAATCGGACGAACAAGCGAGATATAGAGAGTCTTCGTTATATAGGGGTCGTCAAATTCCTTTGACCACCTCTTTATAAACCCAAGCACACCCATGGCCTTATTTACCATGGTAGAAATGTGTTCAGAAAACTTTAACTTTGAGTCTAATTTAACACCAAGATCATCAACCAAGGTAATTCTCTCAAGAGAACCACCGCAGAGGCTATAAGGAGCCAATAGGGGGCTGGAGCGATGAAATGTAACATATTTGCACAACACCATGATTGAAAGTTATTGAGATCGGATTGCAAGCGAGAGTGAAATGAAATGTCCTTATACTGGACACAAAGTTTAACATCATCCGCATACATGAGTACTCGAGAGTTTGTTAATACTGAAGGCAGATCATTAATAAAGAGTGTGAATAGTAGGGGGCCTAGATGGCTGCATTGTGGTACTCCAGAAGTAACAGGTGAAGAGAAGGAGTTTTTGAAGAGGACTCTTTGAGACCTAGAACAAAGGTAGCTAGAAATCCATCTCAAAAGATTAGGCGGAAACCCTAAAAGGTCAAGTTTTTGTGCTAAAAGAGAATGGTTTACAGAATCAAATGCTTTACTAAAATCAGTGTAAATGACATCCGTCTGCAAGTTACCTTGAAAGCCTTTAATGATAAAAGAGGTAAACTCTAATAAATTTGTGGTTGTTGATCGTCGCCTTATAAATCCGTGCTGGGACGGAGATATAAGTGATTTGCAGAGATGTTGCAAGTGCGGAGTTAAAATTTTGTCAAACATCATGTCGGACAAGAAAGTGGGACACAAGAATCAAAAAATGTGTCAAGTACATTGTAAAAAATGTGTGTGCCTTTCATAACGTCAGTGCACAAGTACAGAGCGGACCAATCAAAATCCCTAATAAGGTTATTAAGCTTCATAAACTCGGCTTTACGAAAGCAGCGGACACGTTCAGATAGCCTACCCATTCGATCCAATACAGTAGGGCCAATATCGACTGACACTTCGAATGTAGGATGGTAGGAGTCTTCAGGTATACTGAGCGGAAGGGCTCGGGTTAACAACGCTATGGTCGGATCCGAGACAAAGCACAGATCAAGCAATCGACCCAAGGAATTTTTCACATGGTTGACTTGAGACAGGGATAGGTCTAGCAAGCCGTCGATAAAGTCGTGTCGTGACATGGGCACAAGGTTATTAGACTCGTTTACCGAAGACCAAACAGCACCTGGCAAATTAAAATCACCAAGAACTATCATATGGTCTTTATCTGATAGCGAGGAAGAAACAGTTTTTAAAGCGGACAGGTAATGCTCGTATATTAAGATATCCGAGGAAGGTGGAATATACGAGCAAGTAATGAAAATGGAAAAGCCTGGGAGAATCAGTTTTACGCACAGGAATTCCAGGCGCCTGCTCGGGCGCCACTTGTGAGGTCCTATTTCAGGCTGAGGTGAGCATTCAGTCTGTCCAGGGTCCACTACAAGAAAATTTGTAGTTTGCAGGAGAACTTCAGGTTTCGAGCTGGCCTTGAAAAGCAGTAGGCAAGGGAAGAAATTATGATGTAGTGGTTTTTGCTTTTGTGGTTTTTGTTTTATTTATTACTCTTTCATTCACTTAATTGTTGACATTTGAGACTTGTTGTACGGTGATTGACTGTGAGGTGCGCTGGTGGACTGCGTTGTGCAGTGTCTTGTGTTTGGGCTGAGGGACTGCCTAGTGCAGTGTCTTGGGTGTGTGACTGAGGGACTGCGTAGTACAGTGTCTTGGGTGTGTGACTGAGGGACTGCCTTGTGCAGTGTCTTGTGTTTGGGCTGATGGACTGCCTGTAACTTGTATTCGGGCTGATGGACTGCCTACTCTTTCGGCCGATCTTGGCCCTTTTATGCAGCTGGCGATCGCACCTGAGACCCGGAAATAATTAATTCTTGCTGACTTAAGGTTATTG